TAGGAAGAAGAGGGTTAGGGTTGTATTTCTCCATTCCTACTCACTACTAGTCTATTTAAAGGTAATTAAACAGCATCATTTTAGCTAGTGGCCAAGAATTTTGAACGCATAAAACTTGCTTGAAGTAAAGCCAGCCACATCTGTTTCTTAGCTCTTCTTCCACCCCACCACCATCTCCTTCTCAATTAAAACATTCCTTCCACTGTCTTTTTTCCTACAGTCCTTTGTCTCATCCCTTTTTTTGCCAACTAAGCCATTTCTTCTTCTCTGAAGGGAGGGGGAGGGATAGAAGGAGTAGAAAGGGAGAACACTGCTTGCTTGAAAAAACAACACTCCCCCCAAACCTCTCTCCTCTTTCATTTGTCTCTACTCTGAGAAGCACACCCATTTGAGATGTTCACCCGAAGGGCAGCGTGACATGTTGTCAGGGTGCCGGAGGGGTCCCTGTGGGCTGGAAGGCACTGATGGGGTGGCAGGGCAGGGTTCATCGCACCAGGAGCAGGGCAGCTGGGACACAGAGGGAGCCCCAGCCCCAAACACTGGGCACCTCCCTGGGGATAGGAGGTCAGCTCACCTGCAGGTGGGGGATCCTCATGCGGATTAACAGGCCAGGGAGGGGCCAGGCTGTACCAAAATCAGCTCCAAAGGGACAGGGACAGTGACGGCCATGGCCTCTCACAGCAGTGCTGGCAACCTCTCCCAGCGTTACAACGGGACGTGGGTTGCTCGTGGCTGCACCAGCTCCCCCAGCCCTCGCAGCCAAACCCCCAGGAGGGGGATGCTCCCAGAGCCCTGGCACAGGTGACATGTTACAGAAGACAAACATTGCTTCTTTGCACGGGTATGGCAAGTCATTCCTTTTCCTCATGTTTTCTTACATACAAGGAAATCACTTGGCGAGCATCTGAGCTTCGAGGAGCCCCAAAAGCAATGCAGTATTTTCTGCCCCAAACTTAGATGTTTTCACTAGACTACACAAGCATCCCAAATGCTCTCCTGGTTTTTATGCCTTTGCTACTCTTTCCAAGTAGTTTCCTTTGCCTCCAACACTCTACCTCCGTCAGAGGTACGCACACACAACTACAGTCTCTCAGTTACCTTCAGACTAAAGCAGACAACGATTATGCAATCCGAGTTATTTTCAGTCAAAGGGAAATACATATACAGGAGCAGTTCCATGAGGAGACTGGTCAACAACACATATCTGCTGTTCCAGCTCAAACCTGAAGGAAGAATTCTGTTCATCTTAACTGGAAAGCCTTTCAATTTCAGCACAGCATCTAACAGCAGCTGAGACGTAGGAGAAGGGTAACGGTTTGAGATGGACAACGAGCACAGAAGAAAAGTGTTGACAAAGGATGTTCCAAGTCCATAGTGACTGAGCAAAGAATACCTTACTCTGGTGCATCTTTTTAAATGAGTCTTCATCATCCTTTAAAAATCATTATCCTTCAAAAAACCCTATAAATATACACTCTCTAGTCAGGTAGTGAAATATTAGAACTATTCATATTAAATTGCATATTTTGTACGGATTGTATCATTACACATTGAAGTCATAAAGACCTAACACATTGTGAATCTGCTTTCCTAAAAGCATTTGAAGGACACTGTATAAACACTGGTAATTATAGTCCGCCACAGAAAGAACATACATCTTTGTTTTCAGAGACTGCTGGGACAGAAATGGGAGTAGATCATAGGCTTTGTTTGTAAATCATAACTTTATAGTTAATTCTAATGCTCCCCAAAAAATTTAAAGTTGCTGTAACCATCAGTAACTAACAGAAGTTAAGGGTTATAAGTAACCTGAAGCACTTTCATTTCCAATTTGCTATGTTCCCTATGTGCAGTCAAGTAGAACAGACACACTACCAAATCCAGCACTATGCCTTGGCAAAGCTCACCTAGGAAAAAAGGATCAGGTTTATTCATGGCAGTGTGTCCCAGCCTCTGGGCAACCCTAAAACACACTACCTAGAAATTGGTTTAGTGTGGCCTGACTCCCGAAGTTCTCTAGTTCACAACAGCAGAGCTCACAGAACAATCACAAGAGTGCCTTTTGAGGCTTGAATTAGAAACTGCATGTGTCTGAAAAAAGAAAAAAAAGTATTACAAACAAACCACATGCAAATTGCAAGTATTTTTACCAATAATATCTGAATACTTACAAATGAATTTGAACTTTTGATAGACTTAAAGGGCTTGCAAGACCCTATATTATGTGTTAAAGCTTCCATTAAAATACCAAATAAACTTGTTCAGTGAATTTCTCAATAGGATTATTGTTCCAAATAAATTCAACTCTGCTGCTAAAAACTCAAGGATCTTGACTGGCAACAGATTGTGCATGTTTGACCTATTAATTCAGTAGATTTCACAGAAGCTTCACGCTTCTATCCATCCATCCAAAGATTTCCAAGGCTGGTAACACCCTTTCTTCTTCTCTACCATCATCCAAGCTTTGCTACACCAGTTTCTCTCCCCTTATCTGTCTACAAGCAGCAACTGGTACTGTGATCCTATACCTTCTGAACTTAAACAATTCAATGGCACATACATCCGTAGCAGCGTTTCGTCAGCCTTCATGATCACCACTCACACTTCTTCCACTGCAGAAAGATCCACTGCAGAAAGACCCATCTCAGAAGAACACGTGTTATACCTGAACTTCTTGCAGACCCAGATAGGGATCTGAAAGCTATCTTCTAGAACCAGAGTAGGGAGATAGAGTCTAAAATGCCTTCTACACAGTCACCCAATAAAATGAAACTGTTTGGAAGAATAGTTGGTCAGGAAGACTTACGCAGCTCTGCTTGCTGCTAGGAATGAGGCAACACCACAGTTCGAATGTGGTTTTGATTTTTGGTTTCCATACCACCACCCCCCCACCAAGACAGGGATCAGCTTGTGTCCTTTCTGAGGCCAGCTGCAATTGCGGCTTTTTGATGTGGGTATTAATCTGTTGATGCCTGGACCAAACAGTTGCACTTTTCCTCCCCTTCAAAGACAGCTATGGTCAGTATACAGCAGCTTTAAAGATGTACTGAAATGGTTTACATTTGCACTTGTAGTTAAGATGAAAGGCGGTATCTTCAAGTGGTGTAAGCAGCTTCAAAGTCATCAATAGTATTACTCCATGCCCATTCATTAGAACTAAAAATTTGGTTGCAAAACTCACTCCTAAAGGGTGTTTTCTTATGCACGGAGAGAAAAAAAAAAAAGCCACACAAAAAAATCCCTGTTGTAATGGACCAACAGAATTATTATAAAAGTGACAAGATATTTATCAAATCACTATTAAACGAATTTACGCTGATCCACCACCGACTTTTCGATCAGCTTCCTTTTCTTCCCCATATAAAAATTGACAAGTACGGTCCATTTTTAATGGTATCTCCTTCTCACCAGACTCCAACCTGATGACCGTTTTTGGAACTTGCTGCCGACAATGTAAAACCCCAGCACGGAGGAGCAAAAAGGGCCACCAATTAACATTTCTTGACTGTCCCGGGGCTCAGTTGACATCATTTAGTGCAGCCTTACCCTACAACAAAGCACGGACACCTCTCACCTGCGTGGTATTTCTACAGTTCTCTCTTCACCTCCAAGAACTTGAGGTAGGTGGTTTGTGACTAGCTGCTACCTAAATGAATCGTGTAGATTAAGGGATCAGAGATGTTGGCTATCCTTTTGTTACTGTCAAGAAAGGATGGTGCTGAGGAATGGGGGGGAGGGGGGGGACGACACACAACAAAAACTTTGACAAAAGTGTTTAAACACAGGAATGAGAGTGGGGCAAAAGTAAACTGTTAGTATTTCAAATACAAAAAAGGAAAAAAAAAATGATGATGGGGACTTTTTGTAAGAATTCTTGTCAGCTAAAAGGCTCAGCCTTAGCTCCACTGCAAAGAAGAGAGAAGCCAGAGAGGCTGCTGCCAAAATCATAACAAACTGCAACAAAGAAACTCCTCTGAAACACTGCGCATGTTCATTTCATCATGACTATAGCAACAGGTTGATGTGAGTTGAAGGTAAGGTAAACAAGCACCAGGACAGAGCAGTCTACTTACCTGCAGTCACCTTATTTAAAGCCACAAGAGAGCTGAGAACTTTGCTGAAATTCTGTCCCTGATACAGGTCATTTGCATCAAAAGTCTGAAAACAAAAGAAAATACAATAAATTGTAGAAACAAGCCTTTAAGTTAGTGCAAACCATGACTGTAGAAACTACTGCAGGACCAAGCTGTCAGTCTTTCAGTGGCTGTTATGGACCAGGAAAAAAACTGTGGGTTTTTTTTCCCCTTAGAAAAAAAACCAACTCATTTTTAAAAATAAAGAGAATATAGAAACTGCTGCATTTGAGGAAAAAAAAAAAATGAAGAACATAAGCTAAAAATACCAGGAGCCATTTAAATTACAGGAAAGTTGAGTAAAACAATTATCAGAAGACAGAAGCTTTCCTCAGACAGTTTAGTGAAAAAAGTTACTGGGTACCATTACTCTTGATATACTCTTCTTTTTCTGTAGCAGGTCACAGGCACTGTACCTGATTGTTCATAAAAATATTTTCAAAATTACTACAAATACTTTTAAATATACTACAACATACATGCTATCTCTTTATTTTACAAGACACAGAGGAAAGCAGCATTCCTGACAATTAATGAATTTTACAAAGAGGGTAGTTGTTGGATAGGTTAGATGGAGAATGAGGTTTGGGAAGGGGAGGGATCAAAGCCACGGGCTATTTTATTTTTATTTTTTTAACTATGGGAAAGAGATCCAAACCTCAGACTATCTTGTAGAAAACACTGCAGTAACTTTCAAGCACTGGGTGATGACATTAAACATCTGGATTTTAGGGAGGGGAAGAAGGGATAAAAAAAAAAAAAAAAAAAAGCCCCATAATATTTGCCTGAGGTAATGGAAACACTCATCCAAAGTCTCAGGAAAATAGCTCTTGCAGTAGAGTCTGCATAGGTTGAAAAGAGTCACAGTATTCCCTTGTGCAAGACTAGAAAGAGGACAATAAAAGACAGCTATTACAGTTGTTCCAACTGATTTAAGAAACAGAAAGAGATTCCGTTTCCCCCAGCGTAGCAGCTTTTATCTAAAAAGTCAACAAAAACTTGTTTATTCTCCTGATAACAGACGCACCCCACAGGCACTATCAGAAAGTCTGTACCCCAGAAAGCAGCCTTCAGAGACAGGAGAGGAAAAACCCCAATTCCCAGGGGAGAAGAGAGGAAGGGACAAAGAAAGGCTGGGAGGAGAAAGAGGGAGGCTGGTTAAACCTAAGAGAAGTGAAAATTTTCATGAAAGCTACCTAAAATAACCACAGAAGGGACTGCCAGACCAGTTGTGACTAGTTATGTGATCTACTAACCAAGGCAGAGCAGATTGGGGAAACATTTAATGACAATATTGTTCAGTAAGAAAAAAAAAAATATCTCCCAAAGTGTTCACAGTCTTTGAGGTACTTGTATATATTAACATGCACATTTTTTTTCCCCTCAGAGTGAGGATCATCTCTAGTCCCAGCAAACAGCAGTTCTACTTTGGCTACACTGGTGCCGACACCTCTCAAGCTCAGGTAGCATGTATGCAGCTCAGAAGAGCAATGCCACAAAACAGATGCATTATCAAGCAGAGGCAAACACTAATATACTTAAGCAGTTATCACTCACATAAAATACAAGTAACTACTTCACCAAGTTTCACTGTGCTACAGAAAATGTAAAAACTGCTGTTATTTATTTGAAGCTGTAAGGAATGGAACCAGCGAATTGCTTAGGTGTGAATTTTGTAGGGTTTTTCCTGAAACGTGACGAAGTATTTAAAAACTATGCGCACAGTAAAAGACATTAAGCAAATGAGGAATTATCTGATTTTACACAAATAGACCAAAGATATATTAAGTTTTACTAATAACATATTTTATAATAGAGGTGAGAAAAAGATACCTATAAAGCGACAGCAGAACACATAAAAGCAAAAACCAGATGGGAGATAGCTTAACCACTGCTCAAACTGGGGGGGGAATGAAGCTGCTATGAAACAAGAAAGCATCAGGGGTGTAAAATTTTCATTGTTAGCTACATGCTTATTGTGGTACCTTTTAAAAGAAGCAAGTAAAAAGCACGAACAGAAATCACAAAATAATGGCTGTGATCCAAAAAAGAGGAAACACAAGAGACATTGGTGTCTGCAAAAACACCAGAACTGGATCAGAAAGGTACTACAGGGGAGAGAGAGAACTATTTAAAAAAGGGATGTTTAAGAAAACGGTTAGAAACTATAGCTTAAACTTACAAAATTTAAAAAAAAAATAAAAAATTCTACATCCACTTTAAGCTCACCTTCATTCTGGATTCTGCTAGAGCCAAGAGCTCTCCAAAGTCAGGCTAACTGGAGAACAACAGGATGCGAGGAAGCCTCATTTCCTGCTATGCCGAGACTATAGGGGATAGCAAGAACGATTTGATTGGATCATCCCAACACGTATAGTGCCATAAAAAAAAAGCCTGTATCCAGGACACGCATCCAGTCTGCTACTTCACAGGAAACAAAACAATGGGAGGATACGAGAAACGTTTGTTTCCTTGCGATTTTACAGAAAGCAATTCTGACAGGAAGCAACTCTCAGCAGGCTCTTGGCCAGCATATTTATTAGTAGTATTTGATAGAGGGGAAGGTGGACATGACACCCTTCAGACAGACCCTCCTAACGTAACAAATCTTTAAGAATAAACTAACCTAGAGAGATAAAAAGTGAGGAAAAAAAGCTTAGGCACTCTAAAGTTTTGAGGCTAGTTCATTATGAACTCAATGTCTTGATTATAAAAAACTTGTTAAAAAAACCCAAAACAAACCAAAAAAACACCTCACAAACCCACAAAAAACCCCCCAAAACACACACACCAAAACACAAACCACCAAACACACCCTTCTATGTTAGTGGAGGTTTGCTCATTTCACAATATATTTGAAAACTCTCTACAGGATTGTCAGAGAAAACAGTCTACTCCAGGTTTCAAGAGAAGTCCGACTTGCATGTGGACTACAATCTTCATTCTGGTATTTACAGACAGATCAGCTGTGAAAACTGACTCTTTACAATGTCGTATCTCTATGTAAGAAACAGTCATTTAGTAACTACCCTATTCAGTGTCACTGCATGACAAACATACCCCTCATACAACACCCCCAGTTATGCGACTGCAAGAATCAAGGATCAATTTTGTGATCCAAGTATCAAGCAAAGTTATTTTTGTATTGCAAACTACTACCACATAACAAGGTCTGCACGCTAAATTATCTTCTATACTAGAATAACCCACTTTTCAGGTCATGTCAGAAGTACAACGTTAATTCAAACTTGCACGTGCTTACGACAGCTCTTAAAACCTAGAAATGCAAACACTTAAAAAGATATTACCTTTGCAATATTGAGATTTGTCTTTTAAACATTACGTGACAGGTATATATGGACATTAAACGAGGCTTCATGGAAAAATATTTCTAAAACGCCCTGGCTTTCCAGGCAAACATTTTTAACTGTGAAGAAACTCCACCTGTGATGAAGTTTACCCTCTTGTTCATCCAAACCTTATCTTCCACCAAGACAGTCAGATAAAACATTAGTCGGGATGCAAGTATAAAACTGTCATAAATCACATCAGATGAGGACCCAGCCAAGCCAAATCTTTTGAACAAACTATTTAAATAAAATACTTTGTTCTTAAATTCCCGAGAATTGACTACATGTAGATATATCTTATATAAGCATTAACATAAAGCACACCTATTAAACAAAGACAGACCAGGGCTATATTAGGAGCCTTACACTGGAAACACTTTGCCATTTATCAAGAGTTAGGTGGGAATCAATGAACTTCAAGCTTAGCAGGCTTATCCCCGTATACCTCTTATTATCTGCCTGTTTTCCTGTTAACATCTTTCTCACATTCTTCTGTTCTCTCCTGGATTTCAACACCTGACACATCAATACCCCAAGCAGATACTGTATTCTAGAAGCAGACCAGACCAAACTGCCTAATAATAAGGGGTCTTATGTGACCTATAACACTACACATACACTCAAGAGCACGCTGGCCCTTTCAGTCACAGGAGAGCAACTGCCAAAGCCTGCTGATTGCCTACCCTGACCCATAGTTTCTGGCTTCCCTTTCCACCCCCCCACCAAATTCCCAAGATACAAGCCTGGCTTTCCGTAACTAGGCTTGCATTTTTTGCTCCTAGGATTTCAGTTGGCTGCCGACTTTATTGATAACAATTTTATGACCTCTTCCAGGTCATTAATGAAATGTCAAATAACACAGCTGAGTACCAATGGCAGCAAATCCCCTATAGCAAGATGGACGTTGGATGGCCACTCCACTTTTGTGATTGTATTAAAACCTATTAATTAGCCAATTTTAAAATTCATTTCGTATGAGCCCTATTGATTTTTCCATCACTGACATTTCTTAAACACCAGACAAAATGCCTTAGAGATCCATTTCATCCACGTGCTGATTGTTCGATTACCAAATCCATCCTCTCATTTTAAAACAAGACTGACCTCTGCATGCATATGTTTAAACTCCATCACATTCAAAATGGCCATAGTAAAACATTCAGGTAATTTTAAGTCACCTAACCTCAGTGGATGGAGACTTCTGTTCAAAAGGCATTTATGATCTAAAAGCAATAAGGAAAACAGAAGTAACAGAGCAAGGCTCCTCCCTCATATCCCTCCAATAACCAGTACCTACTGAAACTGGAAAAACATTAACTGAGGAATTAGTGAAAAGAAAAGGAAATTAGAAAATAAGGTTGAGAATACACCTGGTGAGGGCAGACTAAGGCACACAGTAAGCCTGCAGCAGCATTCTTTTCTTCAAACCAGCCAGTTTCAAGGCCTCAGGTATCCTTTATACTATTTTATTCCTCTCTTCTAGCCCATTAACTCATAAGTCAGTTATGGAGGAAATAATTTTAAATCAAGGTATTTCTCCTGACAAGGCAAGGTCTACAACTGAAGACAGTAGGAAAAAAAAAAAAAAAAAAAAACACCAAAAAAAACAGGGGTGGCTCAGCCAAGCTTCCAGACACACACTTTTACTTCAAATGTGTCCTCTACCCATCTTGTTTGTATCCTTAAACCACTTAAGCAGCAGTAAGGCAGCATCTAACAGTCATAGTAAGAAAAGTTCATATAGTGTTTAAGAGTAAAATAGAAACGTTTTCCTTAATAAATATTTCCTTGCTAGACTAGTGCCTTGAATATACACAGGTACAGTATTCCCAGTGGATATTAACATTTTAAGCATCTGACAAAGATAGATGACAGCTTTCTTTACAGCACTGCAGCATAAACTGCAGCAGCTGAGGAGCTGACATGAGCAGCCCAGACATCTGTGCAGCACAGATAGGGCTGCCGCTGCTAACCTCACCAGCTAGCCCCAAAATAAGCTGTAACCCCTAGGCTGTGTGTACTAAACTGGCAGAACACTTCCCAGCTCAGCTTGGTGGCCTCGGGCCGCCAGTGCAAAAGATTACGAGAACGTTGGCTTGCTCACCCGGAGGAAATGAAAGGAAATGAGCAGGATGGCTTGGCAAAGCGCAGCATGACCATGTACAACGTGTCGCTCCACCTGTTCCTGGTACACATGCTGCAGCTTTTTTGGCCACAGGAGCATGAATAAACAAGTGGGAGGAAAAAAAAAAAAGCAACTCACGGTTAGAAATGGGTGACCTTCTTGAAAAACATAAAGAACCTCCAACACCTCGCTTTGTTGCGCTACCACCCGCAGCGTATTTCTACCCCGGAGCAGCTGGCAAGAGGAAGCCAGGCAGACCATCCAGGTCCACCTTCCCATGATAACACCTAATACGCCCAAACTGGGAAAAAGATCCTATAGGTAAGCCTACATGCAAAGCCCAAATTTCTTCGTTTATTCTCACATTAGGTCATCTGTAAGTGGTGCCGAGTCTCATTCAGCTATTATGCAGCAGCTGTTCCTCGAGCCGTGAATTATCATCTGAAAGCTGCGGCAGTAAAAGCAGAGATAAGAAAAGCAGGGAACTATGACAACTGAGAGAGGAAGGGGAAGGGAGGGGAAAGAGATGATTACAAATGTTCTGGAAATCTCTATGAAGCATACTGTTGCCCAAATGTAGTAATGCACAGCACAAGGGAGAGCTAAAAAAAATATTAAGTTCCGTTTCAAAAATTAAGAGTAAGACAAGAGGAAAAGTTTGAAAATAACAGAACGGACCTGCAGTGCTGGATTTCTGTGTGATTTGGTGACAGTTCACAAGAAAATTTAAAACTCAATGATAAAGAATATATAAAAGTTAAAGAGATCCAGAATAGATTTTACTGCTTATATAAACCTGTTCCTCAGAAGTAAAAAATGAACTGTACTAAGAACAACACACCACCTAAATGGCTTTAATTCCTATAACTTGTAATACTTTCAAGACCTAACATTTTATCTGCAAAAGCAGGCACAACCAGCAGTAAAAATGTATGTGGAAGTTCGTAGTCCGTGTGTGTGTGCACATCTGTGCCTGTGTGCATGTATCCAAATATATATTTATGACAAATTCAGGGAGGACAAGGGTTAAAAAAACCCACTGTGTTTTAGAGTCCCTGAAGGTGTACTAAAGCTTTCTAGCTCCAAGAATTTTTTCCCCAAACCAGCTGCATCAAAGCACTAATTTCAAATACTAGATAACATTTTACCTAAGCCACTGTTTCAGAGTCAACATCTAAACATTGCCAAAATTGAACACATATACAATCTATTTTTCACCAACACCAGCAAAAACGACACAGAAAAAAAAGAAAAATCTACACAAATACTAAGTTTATTTTTGGAGATGAACGGTACAATTTCTGAAGCTTTCCAAATCTATCTGGTTTTAGAATGTGACACAGCAGGTTAGTATCCTCAAATGAATCCTTTAGTGAGAAAGTCACAGAATTTGGTATCTTCAACCCTGAACTTCTAGTACTAACAGACCAAGATGCAATTTAAAAAATAGAAATAGAAAGGTTAGCACTGCCTACATTTGTAGAAGCATGTAAGAAAACATAAGCCTCTTCCAAATTTCTACCTGCACAGCAAAACAAGAACTACATCTATCACACCTTCATTCTAAATCACTTTCAAATTGCTTTGGAGGTTTTGAATCTTATAGATGATGCCAGACAGTGGTAATCTCAGCTGTCACTGAGAGACAGACATTCAGCTGCACACAGTATTAACACATGATTGAGTACTAAGGCTTAAGGAAGCTTATACTCCTGGAACTACAGGGGAAAATAAAAGTTGTTGGAATGAAATTACCGAAGATGAAATTTGATGGGGACACTGAAGCCTG